AGTTATTATGACAATTAAATATGCAAAAGCAGTTAGAACAGCAGCTAGCACATATTAAGCATTCGGTATATCTTAGCTATTATTGCTATTATAATTTCTCAGAACTTTTGTCTGATTCAACAAAATTAAGTCCTGCTGAACCTCACTCCATAAGATAATAAACGGCAGGTTTTCTTTTCTTTTTTTTTTTTTTAAGGACAGGTTTTCTAAAAGAATCAGTCACTCGGGGTCTCCTGAACTGATAGCATAGATCACAGACTGGGACTTATACAGAGTTAGAGGCTGAGGAAAATCAGTAATCAAAGTTTGTGAATTGTATTAATTGTTTTTTGTATACCTCTATGGAGGCTGAGATGGTCAATTATAGAATTACTGTTTCTTTTTTTTTTTTTTTTTTTTTTTTTTTTTAGAATTACTGTTTCTAAAGCCTGCTAGCTTCTCAGTAGAAAAATGGCTTGAGAAATCCAGATTTAAATTTTTTAAGGTAGAAATGGAAGCTATCTTTTAAAACATGTCACAGAGTTTATTCAGAGTTCATGCATTTTATTTTATTTATCTATTTATTTATTCATGAGAGACACACAGAGGCAGAGACATAGGCAGAAGGAGAAGGAGGCTTCCTGCAGGAGCCTGATGTGGGACTCCATCTCAGGATCACGATCTGAGCCTAACGCAGATGCTCAATCACTGAGTCACCCAGGTGCCTCAGAGTTTATGTATTTTAGATCATACCAGTTTTCTTACTGGAGGATGCAGACTGGCAGGATTTGGAACACACTAGTCCTACTGGACTTTGGATAGTTGTAGGGCCAGGAAGATTACCCTGGGGGCTTACTGTAATTGAGGTATCATAGCATCGAGGTTAGGGGCATGGGCTCTGCAGTTAGAGAAGCCTGGATGGGAGCCAGGGTTTGGCCCTGAACTAGCCATGAGCACTCAGCAAATTGCCTCATCTTTTAAGCATCAGGTTCCTTGTCTATAAATCAAGGTAATAGCACCCACTAAATGAGTTGTTGGAAGGAGATTTAAATAAGAGAATGTAATTAAAATAATTAGCACTGTGTCCAACACATTGTTGGTAGTTATCTTTAGTGCACTTGAAAATCAATTTGGTGTGTATTGATAGATCCTTTTCCAGAATGTGATCAGAGCAGGGCCTAGGAAGATTGAAAAACCTAGTCATGGTTTATAAAATTGAGAAAATTAGCCTCCTTGAGGAAGGCTAAATCTGGTCTCCTTGCTGGTTTTATAGTCAAGGAGACAAAAGCATTTTTTAAGAGGTCTTAATTTTAAGCAAATAGCATCCGGGTTATCCTTTCGTATTCATTTTCATGTACACATAATTAACTTGTCCCAGATTTTCTTTGCTATCTCCTTAAGCCAAGAACTGGAAGGCCAGGCCCTAAGTTTGCCAAACATAGGCCTAATGAATATAGCCAGTTAAAAAAAGATCTCTTTAACAATCTTAAAACACATAAGAATTCAAAATATAAAAATTTGGGATGCTTGGGTTGCTCAGCGGTTGAGCGACTGCCTTTGGCTCAGGGTATGATCCTGGGGTCCTGGGATCGAGTCCCACATTGGGCTCCCTGCATGGAGCTTGCTTTTCCCTCTGCCTGTGTCTCTGCCTCTCTCTATGTCTCTCATGAATAAATAAATAAATCTTTAAAAAAATACCAAAATATAAAAATTTAAGAGGAATAAAAAGCACAAAAGATAAATGAAAAATTAGGAAACAATAAAAATAACGTATGATTCTTTTTTTAACTTCACTTCTTTTTTTTTTTTTTATTTTAATTCCAGTGTGGTTAACATACCATGTTGTATTAGTTTCAGGTAGACAGTAGAGTGATTGAACAGTTCTTTACATCACCCAGTGCTCACCCCAAGTTCACTCCTTAATCCCCATCACCTGTTTCCCCCGTCCCCCGATCTCCCCCCTCCTCTGGTAACCATCAGTTTGTTCTCTGTAGTTAAGAGTGTTTCAGGACGCCTGGGTGCCTCGGTGGTTGAGCGTCTGCCTTCAGCTCAGGGCATGATCCCCAGTCCTGGAATCCAGTCCCCACATCGGGGTCCCTGCAGGCAGCCTGCTTCTCCCTCTGTCTATGTCTCTGCCCCCCTGTGTGTGTCTCTCATGAATAAATAAATAAAATCTTTAAAAAAAAAAAGTCTGTTTCTAGGTTTTTGTCTCTTTCTCTTTTTCCCTTTATTTTATTTCTTAAATTCCACATGGGAGCAAAATCATATGGTATTTGTCTCTCTGACTTATTTTGCTTAGCACTATACTCTCTAGCTCCATCCATTTTGTTGCAAATGGCAAGATTTCATTCGTTGGTATGGATGAATAATATTCCATTTGTGTGTGTGTGTTTGTGTGTGTGTATCATCTCTTCTTTATCTATCCATCAATGGGCATTTGGCTGCTTCCATAATTTGACTATTGTAAATAATACTGCCATAGACATCAGGGTACATGTCCCCCTTTGAATTAGGGTCTTTGTGTTCTTTGGGTAAATACCCAGGAGTGTGATTGCTGGATCATAGAATAATTCTATTTTTAACTTTTTGAGGAACTTCTGTGCTGTTTTCCACAGTGGCTGTGGGAAACCAACAGTGCATGGGGGTTCCTTTTTCTCCACTTCCTTGCCAACACCTGTTGTTTCTTATCTTCTTGAGTTTAGCCATTCTGAAAGGTGCAGGATGATATCTCATCTTGGTTTTTGTTTTTGTTTTGTTTTGTTTTGTTTTCATCTTGGTTTTGATTTGCATTTCCCTGACGATGAGTGATGTCGAGTGTCTTTTCATATGTCTGTTGGCTGTCTGCAGGTCTTTGAAGAAATGTCTGTTCATGTCTTCGGCCCATTTTTTAATTGGATTATTTGTTAAAGTATGATTTTGTTATTATTTATTTATTTATTTTTATGAAGTATCATTTTAAAAGGAAAAAACAGTTTGAGTTGCACTCTTAAGGAAAGATAAATTAAGACTAGAAAACCTTACAAAGGCAGGAAAATGGAAGGCAAGAACTCCAAAAGAAATAAAACAGTGCAAGTTAGAACAAAATACTAAAATAGGGCAGAGCTACAAAGTTATAAGTTTTAAAAACAAGGTAAAAATATACCCTCCAAAAAGATAAAGAATAGATCCATCTGGAAGTAGGCGAGCGGCATGATCTTAAGTGGATCCTCCAAGCTGGAACAATTTCTCTGCCAGGGTCCTATGTCGAGGCTGCTGAGGGTGCGCTTCCCGTCAATACTGATCACCTTTCATGCAGTGCTCCCGAACCACTCATATAGGTCCTTTACCTATGTCTATCATTCCTTCTAGGTACTCTGGGTCGTAGGTATTGTTCTCCCCATACTGAGGAGCAAAGTAAGGTTTGCATAAGTGCCCTGCTTCACTGGCCCCTTCTGATGCTAAAACCCATGCTTATTCTTGGTCTTTTTCTGCTTTTCAGGAAACATTATCAACCACCATCAACAGCAGAGACAATAACAAAATCCTGTGCCCTTTAATCCTTCCTGCTCACTGGGTCAAGATTAGCCATCAAATTAGGAGAGAAAGCCATTCTTCGCTAACAGCCCAGTGATAGTAAACGTGTAGTGGGTGCTCTTATGCCTTAATAACCCTCTGGAGCGTTGTTTTTTTAATGTCTTTTCCCCTCCCTCCTTTTTTCTTGGTGCAAAGTTGATCCTGGTTATTCAAATATTTACCCCAGTTCAGTTTCCTAAATATTTCCTTAATGTGGATGCTCTCCATTTTCAGTGCCACTTCCAAGTTCTGGCCACCATCTTGGCATTCCTTGGGTTAGTTTCCCATGACCTCTGTAACAAATTACCACATATCAAGAGGCTTAAAACAGTGGAAACTTGCTCTCTCCAGTTGTGGAGGCCAGAAGTCAGAAATCAGTGTTACTGTGCTCAGTCAAGGTGTGTCAGCAGGGCCACACTGCATTCCAGAGGCTCTGAGGATCCCCTCCTTGGCTCCTGTAGCTTCTGATGCTGCTGGCATTTCTTGGCTTGTGGCCACAGCACTCCAGTCTCTCTGGCTTTGTGATCACGTCTGTCACCTGTCGCCTCCTCCTCTGTGTGTGTCAGACTCTGTCTTTCTCTTAAAAATACATGTGTTTGCTTTAAGGACCTACCCAGATAACCTGGGACAAACTCCTCATCCCAGGGTTCTTAATTACAATTGCAAAGATCCCTTTTTGCCCTGTAAGGTGACATTCACCGGTCCCAGGGATTAGTGTGTGACTGTCATTTGGGGGTGAGGCATCTTTCAGTCTGCTACTCTGCTAAACTTTCGTACCATCTCTACCTTCTGCCCTCTACTACCAAGTTCCTTTCAACATGCAGATCAAATCACGTCACTGCCTTACAACTCTTTAGGGGCTTCTTGGCTCTTGGTGCTGTCTTGACTCTGTGATGTGTCTTGATGACCTCTCCACCTTCCTCTCTCCGGCTTCTCTCTTTACAGTCCACCGCTCAGCCGCACCCCCACCCCTATTCACTCTCACCCCTGCTCTTGTGTGTTCCTCTGCCTGCAGTACCCTCTGCCTCCTTGTGTTGTTTGGCTCACTCCAGTTCGTCATTCCGTTCTCATTTAGCCTATGGACTTCATTTCCTTCCTGAAGGCTTGCTCTCCCTGGGCTAGGGTAGGTGTGCCCCTCCGTGTATCTCATGAGAGCTCTTACCTGATAGGGACAGTCTCCCTATCGTAGATCCACCTTTTGCTCAAGCTGTGTTTCCTGCACCTGGCTCGGTGCCTGACACACAGTAGGTGCTTAATAAATATGTGTTGGGCCTCTACATCCACCACGCCAATAATAATATTACAACAGAGAGCGCTCATCCATGCAGAAGAGTTTTTGCTGGAGAGGATTGTATATGTGAATGCCAAAAGTTCCCACGGATCTTTATTTTTAAGCAGAAATCAAGTATTATGTAATTACGGGATCAAAGAAAACATTTTCATGCTTATTAAATTCTGTTTTCTTTCAGGCCATTCCTGTGTTTCTCACTTTGCATAATGTAGCTGAAGTTATCATCTGTGGGCACCAGAAGTGTTTTCGGAAAGAGGTAAATGATAATGCAAAATGCTAGTTTCGCTTCCCTTGCTTTAAATTTCAAAGGTGCACCTTGTTTTATGGCCCAAATTAGTGTCTACCTTTTCCTGCCATCTGTTTCCTGACAGTGGTCAAGACTGCCTGGCAGTCGTCACTAATTTCAAGGATCGTGTTTTCGACATCCTTTCGCATCACCAAACATACGTGGGAATGCTTGTTGATCTGAACGGCCCTCGACCCACCACCCACCGCAGGTCAGGGCACAGCAATCACTTTGGGATACAAGGAGGAATTTACCTCAGGCTGAGGTGTGGGGCCTGGGAGGCAGCGTTCCCACCCGAAGCTAATCCCAGGGCCACCAGGGAATATATGGCAGAGCTTCACATAGGGTGCTGAGAGCAGTAGCCTGCCCTGGGGAAACTGCCTTCTCTTCCCAAGCCCAGCTCTGGGTCACATCAGTTGGAGCAAGTCTTCACCTCCTTCTGAGAAAAGCGGGTAGTAATGACACCCAGCTCATACAGTTGTTGGGAGGACACAGTGAGGCACACGTGTTAAATGCTTCCAGCAGTTTCTGGTGCATGGTAGGTTCTCTGTATGTGTTTGCTACGTTTATTAACCTTATTAGTGGTGGTTTTAATTTGGTTCCTCTTTTGAGATTTCTTTCTTTCTAACACCTGCCCATTTGAAATGGTTTCATATAAAAAATTGGGAACTCTTCAACTAGAGAGACTAGGTGGCCATTCAGACAGCTCCCTTATAAGTGTGCAGGGGAGAGAGGTGTCCTTCCCATGGCTGGGACCACTCCGCACACCCGGGCACCCTGTCATCCCCACCTGCTGCTCGCAGGCAGCTGCATGGACTACCTCTTCTGTCCTGCAGAGTTAACCTCTCTCCCTCTCTGCAGCCTTTCTTTCCTCAACCTGTAGACACTCTCAGTGTTCCCAGTCCACTGAGGAGAGAGCAGACCCTGGGGGACCCACTCACACTAACCTGGCTCTGAAGGCTGCGTGTCCCAAACCAACACTGGCCAGGCACGCCAGCCGACTCCCTTGCCTGAGCACACCTGCACCTCTGCCCCGCCACGTCCTTGCCCTGGCCCAGCACCACGCCTGAGGGAGGGCTGGGTTCGGAGCTGCCCATGGCCTTGTGTCCCTCTCACCTCCAAGCTGCTCCTGCTTCTGCCCCCACCGTCACCCCGAAGCTGCTCTGCCTGAGATCACTTATAAGTGCATTTCCACCACTGTTGGCCTTTTACACCGTTCATCGCCAGGTTCATTGCTGCCTTTCCTTCAGTCTCTTGGCCCCCTCGACCTGCTGGTTCCCTTCCCCAGTGTCTGGCTCCTCCTCCTCTTTCATTCGTCTACCCTGTAGGGTCTCCGGGGGCTCTGTGTCAGGGTTCCTTTGCTCCCAAGCACACACTCTCTGGACAGCCTCCTCCACCATCCGCCTTTAGTTCACTGGTGACTCCTGTGTCCCATCTCCAGCCCGGGCCTCGCTCTTGAACTCACATCCCCATTGCCTGCTGCTGCCTCTGGCTCTCCACATACCTGCTCCCCGGGGACATGAAATGCAAAGGGACCAAACGAACTGCTCTGTTTTTGCAACCTGCTTGTTGCTTGGTGATCCTCATCCTGGTCATCACCACCCATGGCAGAAACACTGGGATCCCCTTAGAGCCCCGGTCTGGTCTTCCCACACACACACCCTATTTCTGAATCTGTCCCCACCTCTCCATTCCCACTCTGCTGCCACCTTGGTTCAGGCCCTCATCTGTTTTTCAGGGGTCAAATGAGATCTTGCTCCCCTGAGCCCTTGGGCAGCCAAGTAGGGCCTGGGGTGAGCAGTCCTGGCTTACATAGTTATTGTGTTCTGTGTGCACCATCACCTGCCTTCACCTGCCAGATGTGTGGTAGTGCCTGGCTGGTTTTCCTGCCTCTGCCTCTCCCCACGCTCACCTTCCTCCACATTGCACCCAAGTGACCTTTTGAAACTGATCGATCATGTCCCCCCATGTACATGGGGAGTGCTCATGACCTCCATGGAGGCATGCAAAGCCCATAACCACCTAGATGCCATACACCTCTTGGGTTTTAGAAAATCCAGCCACAACCAAACTTCTTATTTTTCCTAGACCATGTCATGATGTTTTCTTTCCTCTGATTGGTCAGAGAACCTCTTATAAGCACTCTTCATTCATTCTGAGTATTTTTGTGTACCTGTGTACCGCCCACCGTGCCAGGCTGTAGGCCTACAGTAGTGAGGGAAGGGCATGGTCTTACTGCTCTGGGCAACTCTTGGAGCATCAGCTGAGCAAAGGAGACACAAATATGACACTCCTCTGCTGGATTATATGGCCAGAGACGCCACTATGGGGAAGTGACATTTAAACACAGATAAAGGGGGCACCTGGGTGGCTCAGTCAGTTAAGCATCTGCCTTCAGCTCAGATCATAATCTCAGGATCCTGGGACTGAGCCTCACATTAGGCTCCCTGCTCATCAGGGAGTCCATGTCTCCCTTTGCTCCTCCCCTGCTCATGCTCTTGTGCTCTCTCTCTCTCTCTCTCTCAAATAAATAAATAAAATCTTAAAAAAAAATCAACACAGACAAAGGCTGAGCAGGAGTTCAGCAGGTGGAGTTAAGGGGAGGGCTCCTGGGAAGAGGAAACAGGAGATGCAAAGGACCAGATGTAGGAAGGGACTTGGCAGGAGTCACTTCGGGCTAGTGTGGCTGGAGCTTGGTAAGAAAGAGAGAGGGTGCCTAGGGATGAGGCTGGAGACTTAGGACAAGCCTTTGAGGCTGAGCTAGGAATTTGGGGGGTGTGCTGAGTGCAGTGGGAGGCCGGGGTTGGGTGTGAAAGCCCAGAGAGACTGATCAGATTTACTGTCTCTGGAACTGTCTCTGGAAGGGACAGGAATGCAGGAGGTGAGAGGGGACTCTGGTGACTCTCACAAGGGAGGCTCTCAGTCTTTTAGGCTGGTCTGCATGCAATTGGAGCCTTCCCGACACCTCAAGGAGCATGAGCACTGCTCTCTAACCTTTTTTTTTTTTTTTATCACACCATCTTGTGATTTCCGTATTTCATCAATTCTAACACATGCTGCTTTTTCTCACGTTAAAAAAATTTTCACTACCTACAGTTGTGATGCTTCTACAATCAGTGGAATGCCCTGGTCAAATGCTTTCTTTCTTAGTAATATATAAAGAATGAGAGATTTTATACTCAGTGGTACCTAAGGTTCAATGAACCTTAGGTGGGAGTTTCTCTGGGTCTCTGCCTGCTTCCTCTAAGCCCCCTCTTGGCAGGGACCATGTGGTTGTTGTCTTCATAGCTCCAGAGTCTTGCCCTAGAACTGCTGCCAAGACGAATATTCACTAACTAATCACTGAGGTTCAGAAACTCACCAAGAGCTGCTGAGGTTCTCGGAGACTTATGCTTTTGTGTGTGAATTGAAAAATGAAGATTTATTGGATCTGGAGAAGAGATCCAGGCATCTCAACAGGGTACTGTTTCCTGATGGATAAGTCGGGTCACATAGGCGAGGTAGAGTAGAAAACAGGGTTAGAGCATTCTCAGAGCTATTTCCATCAGGCAGAGACCAGGGGGTAGACTTTCAGGCTGAGAGGACCTGTCCTTGAAAGAATAAATTGGATGATAAATACCAAAATATTTTGAATCTTCATCTCCATTTCATCCCCAACACTAAACATCATTTCTCTTTTTAAAAATTTTAATTCCAGTATAGTGAACATAGCATGTTATATTAGTTTCAGATATTAAATATAGTGATTCAACAATTCTGTACCTTACTCAGTGCTCATCATGATAAGTGTACTCTTCATCTCCTTCACCTATTTCCCCATCCCTCCACCCACCTCCCCTCTGGTAACCATCAGTTTCTTCTCTATAGTTACGAGTCTGCTTTCTGCTTTATATTTTTGCTATGTTTGTCTTGTTCTTAAATTATACATATGGTATTTGTCATTCCCTGACTTATTTCACTTAGCATTATACTTTCTAGCTGCATCCATGTTGTTGCAAATGGCAAGATTTCATTCTTTTCTTTGAGGAATATTCCTTTCTGTATATATACCACTTATTTATCCATTCATCTACTGGGACACTTAGGGTGCTTCCATAATTTGGCTATTGTAAATAATGCTGCTATAAACATCAGGGTTTATAAAGATATATATCTTTTTGAGTTAGTGTTTTCATATTTTTGGGTAAATACCCAGTAGTAGAATTACTGGATCGTAGAGTAATTCTATTTTTGACTTTTTGAGGAACCTCCATACTGTTTTCCACAATGGCTGCACCAGTCTGCATTCCCACCAGTGATGCACAAGGACTCCTTTTTCTCCACATCCTTGCCAGCCCCGTTGCTTCTTGTGTTTTTGACTTTAGCCCTTCTGACAAGTGTGAGGTGATACTTCATTGTAGTTTTGATTTGCATTTCCCTGGTGATAAGTGATGTTGAGCATCTTTTCATGTGTCTGTATGGCTGTCTATATGTCTTCTTTGGAGAAATGTCTGTCCATGACTTCTGTTCATTTCTTTTTAAAGATTTTCTTTATTTACTTGAGACAGTGAGTGTATGTGTGCATGCGCACATGCACACACGAGTGAGAGAGGGGTAGAGGAAGAAGCTGACTCCCTGCTGATCAGGGAGCCCCACTCAGGGCTTGATCCTAGGACTCTGAGACTGTGACCTAATCATGAAGGCAGATGCTTAACTGACTGAGTCACCCAGGTGCCCCGACTTCTGTCCATTTTTAATCAGATTATTTGTTTTTTGGGTGTTGAGTTGTAGAAGTTCTTTATATATTTTAGATACTAAATCCTTTATCAGATATATGTCATTTGCTAGTATCTTCTCCTATTTAATTGGTTATCTTTTAGATTTGTTGGTTATTTTTTTATAAACAATATCCTTTCTTGTCAGGGCAAATTAGGAAACAGTTGCATGAATTATATACCTATTTAGTCATTTTTAAAGACTTTTCTTTCCTTAAGAATGTAATAAACTATAATAAGTTGTAGAACATGCAGAGGAAAAACGTCTCAAATCAACTGTGATCCTACTTCGCATATGATACTACTATGTTCTATCAGACTTTTTCTCAGTACACGTATATAGACATACACAAATGATATAACATATTCTATTTTCTGTTGATCGATTTGTCAGGAATCTCTATTCGTGTCCTCATTCCACTCCACATGGAACATGATGTGTTTTCCTGTTTATAGACTTGTAGGTGGTTTCTAGTAGGTTGGCATTAAAATCTGCTCTGTGATGAAGATTGGCTGTGATCTATTCCCATATGATTCTCTTTCCTGATCCTTTAGCCTGGAGCTTCGACAAGGTGACCAGATATTACTAGGAACACAACTGTATGACACTTCTTAGGCTTTGCCTGTGACTCATAGTGAGGCCTCTTTTGTCTATTATGTGTCAGGTTTCACCAGACTCAACTCTGGAGAGGAAAGTTGACCTCCTCATGACCTTGTTCCCAGGTTATAAGGATAAACTCTAATTGGAACTGTGGTTCGTTGTCACCATCCATGATTCTTTGTACATGCATGTGCAATCACATGCACACATATAGTTTGACTATAAGATAATGTGTGCCTTGTGAAATTAGTCCCGTTACCTTGCAGATATACTTGTCACAGTTAAACATTAGAATGCTGCTATTCATTCTTTTGTTCATTTGTTCAACATTGACTAAATCTACGCTATATATCAAGCATCTGGCTAGGCCTACAACTATGGAGATATACACGACACCCACGACACCTTGATCATCCTCACAGAACTCAGGTAAACGGAGGAACCAACATGTAAACACATTCTGTGATGTTCATAGAATGCCATATGGGTTGAAAACAAGGGTATGGGGTAGATGGAGAGTCTGCATGGAAAGGCCAGGAGGCAAAATTTGAACCCAGTCCCGTGGATGGTAGGAATTTTCAAAGTGCAGGGAGAAAGGGCACTCCAGGCAGGCAGAGGAAGCAGCATAGTAGTAGGTAGTAGTGTGAAAGGGCTGGCAGGTGTCACTGCAGGATTGGCAGGCTGCTTGTGTCAGAATAGCATCGTAAAGGATCAGGCTCCGGAGCTAGATCACCTGAGCCCAAACCCTGTGAGCCAAACCCTGTGAGCTTGGGCAACTTTACTACTTTCTCAGTGCCGTGGTGTCTGCATCTCTTGCACATCCTGAGACTTAAATAACCCATAATGAAATAAGTCAGTACATGTAGAGGCTTAGAACAACACTGGCATAGAGTAGGGAGTCCTCAGAGTAAGTTAGCTGACCTCCGGTAATATTAGTTGTTTATTGTTCTTTTTGGCGATGTGACTTTTGAGAAGTTATACTGACTCATTCAAAACACTGAGACATCATAAGGACTTATCACTGGGTGACTTTTGGACGGAGGAGCCTCAAAAGGTGAACACCAGACATTAACTCCTTGGTTGTTTGTGGATACCTGGGAAGCAGAGGCTCCCTAATGCATTTATTGCTTGTTCTAATCTCTGTATCTCAGGTTCTGGCTCCTCGGGCCAGAGGCGTTTCAAATAAAAAAGCAGTCTCTCCTCTGTGGAATGAGTGAACTGTCTCAAGCTCTGTATTGATTTGCTGCCCTGTGACAGAAGTCCCCAGACAGTTGCTGGATGCACGTGTTACTACTCATGGAACAGCTGGGCCATGCTTTTCATCTCTATCCTGTCTGTTCCTATTTTTCCGCCAAACTGTTGATATGTTGATTACATTTAGCCCAGAATCTTTCAGTGACACATTTTCCTGTGATAGGGCAATTCTCCAGGTGCCCAGAGTCAGGTCACCTTTTTGGGTCATCCTTCCTGTACTGAAGGGATGTGTCCCCCACCAGGTGGCAGTGGAGTCAAGGTTGGCATGGCCAGCTGAGGCGGATTCCACAGAGATAAGATTTAAGGATCTAAAGATGCAAGCCACTACTTTGCTCACAAACATGATCTTTTTATTAAAACAAGGGCAAGCTAGATTATTTAGTAATGCATGAAAACTGAAGATAGCCTTTATAGCAAACCATGTTTGTCAGTGCTTCACATTTAAAAAAAAAATTGAGATATGATTGACATATAACATTATATTCGTTTCAGGTGTCCAGCATAATGGCTTGATATTTGTGTATCTTGCAAAATGATCACAATAGGTCTAGTTAACATCCATTACCATATGTAGTTATAAATTTTTTTCCTTGTAATGAGTACTTTCAAGATCTAATCCCTTAGCAACTTTCTTTCTTTCTTTTTTTTTTTTTTATGATAGAGAGAGAGAGAGAGAGAAAGAGAGGCAGAGTCACAGGCAGAGGGAGAAGCAGGCTCCATGCACCGGGAGCCCGATGTGGGATTCGATCCCGGGTCTCCAGGATCGCCCTGGGCCAAAGGCAGGCGCCAAACCGCTGCGCCACCCAGGGATCCCCCTTAGCAACTTTCAAATCTACAATACAGACTTTAGTCACTGGAAGTTTGTACCTTCTGAGTGCTTAATTTTTTTAATATGATTTTTAAAAAAGATTTTATTTATTTATTCATGAGAGAGAGAGCGAGCAGAGATATAGGCAGAGGGAGAAGCAGGCTCCATGCAAGGAGCCCGATGCGGGACCCAATCCTGGATCCTGGGATCATGCTCCGAGCCAAAGGCAGACACTCAACCACTGAGCCACCCAGGTGTCCCAAGAGTGCTTTATTTTTAAACAATATGTTCATACTTCACTTTCATGAACTGGAATCAAAGCACTGTAGTTTGTCCCCAATTAGCAAAGTAATCCTTTTGAAATGTCCAGAATTAATCTGTTATTTCTTCTATCAAATATAGAAAAATCTTGCTTCTTCCTGCTAGAACTTTATACCTGAGTGCAAAGAACTCATTCCCTTAAAATAACTAATAAAAAGGAGAGGATAAAGGCAGGGTCCTCATTAGAATTTCTTCATTTCAGGGAGTTTTAGAATGCCAAATTTTGATTTCCCCAATCCTCCCTTTCTCTCTCTCTAGCAGTGAAACAGAGAGATTTCCCTTCTCCTTTTTTCCTGTTTCTTCATTTATACATCATCCCAGAGAGCTTACAGCACTGCTGAGAGTCAGAGCTAGATTAGTGAAAGGCAAATGTAAGGAGATGGACTGGAATAGAAGTTGAATGAGAGCCTGAATTACCTTCTTACACAGGTCACATCAATTGCTCTCTCTCCCTTTCTTGGTGTGTGAGATATTTGAAGGCTTGGCCCTGGCATCATTTTGGGGTTTTGTGAGTAAACACAGTTCCAGAGGTGAGGGTAGTAAAATTGCACACCCAGAGTGCTTTGGCCAAGTGACTCAACTTGGCCTCTGAGTCATCCTTCTCGTGGTCCAAGCAGGAAAAGCCTCAAAAAATACTGAGGTGCAGCCCGCTCTTAAGCCCCCAATAAGCTTACTCGAAATTTATTTGCCTCTTGATCTAAGTATTTTATTTAAGGGGAAAAGAGAATTTTTAAGACTAACTATATGTCTCTTTTTTTTTCATACAGAAAACTTCTCCTGAAAAGATCTGTAGGTAAGTTTAAAGAAAAAGAAAGCAAAACCCAAAGCCCTCTAAAATAGAAGATTTAACCTGATTTTTTTTTTATTTTTTTTTATTTATTTTATTTATTTTTATTTTTTTATTATTATTTTTTTAACCTGATTTTAAATGTTGATGATAAACTGTTAAGATTCCTATTTGAGATTTGACAGAATTTGTTATCAACAGCTACATTCCCCCATTTTGTGTCTTATTCTAAATTTTACTATCTCTTTCTCTCACTGGTTTTCTTCCCTGAAATATTCTGTTCCTAAGGGGAAAATAATCTGTAGATTTCATCACTGATGCCCAAAACTTCACTAAGAATTGTGCAATACTGATGGGAGAAGGACAATGGAAAACATGGAAAATGACTTCAAACTTTTAAAATAATGTTTGCAATTTATTGAGTCTTTATGATTCCTATGGTGGGAAAAGCACTGCCTGTAAGGTCAGGGATCTGAGTCGTGATCTTGGGCCACAGCAGAGTAACTAAGGGCAGGCTTCATTGCCCTTTGAGCCTGGTCCCTGGGGTGGAACCATGAGCTGGGCTGGACTCTCAGGCAGGTCCCTGGGCCCTCGGTGTGCTGACCTGTAACCTTTGTTCTCTGGCTTCTACCTGCCTCCTCTGCCATAGCTCTGAAGCTCAGTCCTGAGGATAGAGAACCAACAGAAATGCTTTGACACATGGATTTAGGACTTTTTGTTTCAGATATTTCTGGGCTTTCATCCAGTCTCTTATTTTGCTTTATTACAGGCTGCTACTTGCGGAAAAAACAAAACAAAACAAAACATAACACTCTCAGGACTTATCCTCTCGTTTAAAAGATTAGCAGGTGTTAAAGAGAGGAATTAAAACCCACTAATACCTGATATAATCATGTATTGCTCAAAGCCAAGGTTGGTGGGAAACCAAGTGCTGTCTCACACCTGGCAGTCCCCCATGTCCTATCAGCCTCGAGGGGCTGTCTGTTTGAGAGGACCTCTAACATTCATTGCCTGTGAATGAGGAAGCAACCTATATCCGATACAGCCTTCTACTCTATGCAGACACCAAATCTATTAGGGTTCTTGTTGTCTCCCACCTAAAACCTACCTAATCCTGTGCAGTCCCAGAAACCTTTCCCATAGCCTCTCCCCCATTCACCCCACCCTTTGCCTCTGAGTCTCTTGGCAATCTGCAGCCGTGGAGTCTTTTCCGGGCTTTTTGTATCTGTGTCTTAAAAGTTGGCAAGGCTATAGAAGGGGGGTGGGCTGACGTGGAGGACCTTTGTGTGCCTCGGATGTCCGGTGTCGTTCTGACCTTCCCAGGACTGTGGGTCCCCAGCTCTGAGCCCACCCGGCCATGCTAGGTGGGTTCTGCATATTTGACAGAAATGCCACACGAATGACAATGACATTGTGCCCTCCTCAGTATGTCATGTCAGAAGGCTCAGGATGTAGGTCTGTCCTGTCATTGGAGCTGTTACATTTGACCATTTGGTGAGGATGATGCACAAAAGATTTTAATGTGCTTTACATGGTGCTTTCTTTTTCCTGAGAGGTGGATCTGCAGTCTGATTAACCAGTTTTTTTACTAGTGTATTTTTGGGGATCTGCAGTTTAAAAAAAAATCTCTTATTATCTGTTTCATGGGCATCATTGTTTTTCTTGCATGAGCCAGCCACGGTTTTGCAAATGTCCTGCAAGTGCCCGTGTCCTGGGAAATGGCCAGCTGAGCCCCAGGGAAGGGACTGTCTGGTCCCTGGTGGAGCACACAGTTGGAAATGGCCTAGGTAGCGGGGTGCTCAGAGGAGGAACAGGGGCACAGGGCTGGGTCTCACAGGGTGTCGGCCTTGTGCAAGCACCTCCTGATGTCTTCCAACCCCCATGCTGTCTGGGAAACCCTTTGATGTTGAAAGGTGAAGCTGCTTGTGTTCTCTCCCTTTGAACAGCACCCTCTTCCTTCTGGCTGCCGCAGGATGCCTTCCCTTCAATGACCCCCAGGTAAGTCCAAGGGCATTCATTTTGCCTTCCAAGTGTCTTCTACTCTCTGCAACCTGCGTGTGTGAGCAGAACTCCTAGTCCTTCCTTCAAGAATCAGAAGAACCCCAGCCTGTGCAAAGGCATTTAAAAGCTTCCGGGCTGGGTACCTCTTGGCCAGCTCAACACCTTTTCTGCAGGACTTTACCTTCTCTCCAGGGCTGCAGCAGAATGGCAGAGCTCTGGCCTCTGGGTGCCGTGATGGGTGCCACTAGCCCTCAGTCTGTGCTGGGAGGACCCACAAGCCCCAGACCCCCAGGTCGAGTACCCTAGCCTCCTGCATGGAGGCGAAGTTGAGTTTCCCTCTCATCCCCGAAGGCCTCATCTGCAGAGTGATTTTCACTTGTTCGCCTGAGTTTTTCCTTACTAGGCCCTGAGGACCCACCCCTACCCCCCAGTAGTCATCTCGCGGTGGGTCTGTTTTCTCTCTTTTCTCTCCCAGCATTTATTAAGTCCCCATCAAGTATTAGGCACTGAGCCAGGCTCTGGGGACACAAAGAAAAATTATCCTCTTGCAGGCAGAAGTCAGAGTCTCATCAGAGCAAAAGGGAGGAGGACAGATGAGAAATAGATTATTATAACACAGGGAAGCCAGGGCTCTGTCCTAGGAAGATACGGGACATAGTGAGGCACTTAAGAAGACTTGGGGACCCAGGAAGTAGGAAGAGCTAGCAATTATAAGGAGCTAGCTATGTGCCAGACTCTGTGCCAGTGCTTTATGTGCCTTATTTTATTTAAAATCTCATAGTTTCACAAGGAGAGGGACTCTTATTGTCTCCCTTGCGTAGCTAAAGAACAGCGAGGACCCAAAGATCACCAGCCCACAAATAAGTGTGGGTTTCAGAATTTACATAGACCTTTCTAATGCTAGAGCCAGACTCTGCTCTCTGGACCTAAATCTTGAAGGGTGAGGAAGTGATGGTCAGGAGAAGAAAGCAGGTGTGGGCACAGTCATGGGGTGTCGTGTATTCTGTGATTCAACTTTAGTGAGCACTTACTGTGTGTGTAACCCTGTGCAAATTCCTGCCCTGCTGGAATTTATAGGCTAGTGGATGGTGGAGAAAGAGATAGGTGACAAATTAAATGGAATGTGTCAGATGAGATAAACTTCTACAGAGAAAAATAAGAAAGTGAAGAAGAGAGGGAGTGCCCCTTGGCTGAGTTGATGGGGGAAGTGTTTGGGCTTGGGGAAGTGCAAGGTGTGACTTTCCATGGAAGGGGTGCAGTAGATGGGACTGGTGGGGTTGACAGGGGATTGTCATAGAGATCCTAGAGTGCCATGAGTTTGGATTTTATCCTGAAGTCACTGGGGGACTATTGAGTGATTTTAAGCAGTAGGTGACACCATGGGATCAGCGTTTTAGAGATGTGGTGTGGAGAATGGGAAAAAGGGGTGCTGGAGGCAGAGAGCCCTGTTAGGAAGATGTCATAGGCATCAGGGTGAGAATTGAAGATGAACTGGCCAAGGCCCCAGAGTCCTGTTGTGGCACCCTTGGTTGGTACTATGCATTGACAGTTAAGGTTTCTGGTTGTCACACTAGATTCCATTTGCCTCTTCTTATAGCTGTTTTATTATTTTTTTAAATCCTGTGTTACAGTTTGATCCCAATGGATATTTCTGGGCTGTAATTCACTTATTCTGTGTAGGTAAGTTTTAAAAGAATGCTTACTTAAAGAATTGAGGCTTATTACTTAGACCTTCTTATATATCCACTTTTCAGTAACCCTGAGCAATAGGAAGATTACAGATAAGGTGTCAAGGTTGAAATTAAATGGGGATTTTCTGATCTGGTTCTCCTGAAATGTTTCCATTTCTGACATAGTCTCCTCTTTTTCTCCACAAATACTAACTCACTCACCAGGGCTCTGGCCCTGCTGGCTCAAGGCAGAAGCGTGGAGAAGTGCTGGTTGGTCTTCTCTCAAAATGCTGAGAAGAGATCCAGAAGTTTGTGTTGGAAACATTGTCTTTCAGCAGTATATGCAAAGAAATGTGAGCGAGTGAAATAAAAGGGCCATTTGACTTTATTTCACATCATACGTTTGGTGTTTCCTGCCTGTAGTCTTAGGGGGAAAGCAGGGCCCTGATTGTGTTACACAGCGTTCAGAAATGGAGCAGCCGTGTTCCTTTCTCCTGTGCATCCTGCAGAGGAGGTTGAAAGCTTCCTGTGAATTGTATCCTTCTGCTGATCATGAGCCCTCCCAGCCCAGCAGCATTCTCTGTACCGAGTGGTTATCACCGGGGATGACTGCGTTAGCATCCTGGACATCCTCCAGAGTGTTGTTGCGCCCCCTGTCAGCCGTGGGCGACCTGTGTGGGAAGAACTGCCTTCCTCCATGTGGATTTTGTGCTTCCCAGCAGGTGCGGGCAACCCCTTACGCAGGATGTCCTGTGCCAGTAACACCCACTGTTTCATTTTCAGGGGTTTATAAGATAGTGCAGAAGTCCCGGAAACCCAACGCCTTAAGGTAAACTTCTCAAGTGTGCTGGGTTGTTGTTTGGTTAAAACAAAGGGATGAGACCCAAGGTGTCTTGAGCTTGTTCTGTTCAGCCAGAGACTGTGCATGTGTGGGTTGTGGTGAGGGCAGCAGCCAGGGGCCCCTGAAACCTTTTCTCCTGCTGTTGGGTCATTCCAGGCAGGATCCTCTAGCACCTGATCCTACTGGTCATCAGCAATGTGCAAAGAACAGGGGGGCCCTCTGCCCTCTTACTTCATGGGCAAATTTTTACACAACAGTTTTATAAAAATTGTGTGACCCACTGCTTGGGGGGCCCCGGTTTCTTCCGTTCAGAGGCCACCTCATTTTTCTTGTTTCCCTAGCCCCTTCCTAACTTGACTTTGTTTAGATCCAGAATTTCCCGTCATGAGCTCTGTGCTGGGGTAAATTGAGGCCTCTGTTGTGGGCAGTCAACGGACCAACCTTAGCAAATGTAAATGAAAGAGAGAGTGGTCCTCTGGACTGGTTTGCTGGCTTCTGGGGTTTGAGGCCCACCAGAAGGACCCCTGGGAGAAGGTTATACACTTGGAGGCTGTGACTTCAGGTCCGTAAAACACCTCTTGTTCCTTTAATGAAGTGTTTCTGCAGCAAGAAGCCAGTGGAGTTGCCAGATAAAATACAGGATGCCCAGTTAAATTTGAATTTCAGATAAGTAGTGAATCCTTTTTTTAGTGTGACTATGGCCCATGTGATATTTGGAATATACTTAAACATAAGTCTTTATTTGAGATTCAGATTTATTTGGGTGTCCTGTATTTTTATTTGTCAAATATGGTGGCCCTAGAAGTTGGTCCAATGGCCTGAAAGAGTTGACACTCCTCTCCCAGTGGCAGATGTAGGAGCTAATCTGCCACCGGTGAAAATGTGTGCTACTACTAAACTAGGAAATGTTTTTTAAAAATGAACCAGGAACAAGTTTCGAATATAAAATACCCTTCATACCATTTTTAAATGTAGAAACTCAGCCATAGATATAATTTATTAGTAGAATATAATGTCCCTTTTGTGTATGTGAAACATTTCTATTATTTTACATGTTTTATCTTTTTCTTTTTTTCTCATTCCTTAGCGACATTGAGCAGCAGTACTTAAACTATATGTTCAGGTAAAATATAATTTACATTTTCAAAGAACAACTCATATCTTTCTAGAGCTAATGGATTTTTATTTCCCAATAATATTTTGATTAGGGGGTGCTGAGCCAGTACGCCTACCAGAAACGCAAGCTAAATAATTTGTAAGATGACTAGAAGTTGAGAAAACCAAATAGCAGTTCGGTACATAGACCAGGCAAAAGGGACCTCTTTCTGACTCCCCATTTCAGAACATCATACCTCTCTCCATGAAGTATGGAGTCTATAAGGCTAAGAGGACATTTCTTCCCAGGGCCCACAGTCTCTCTTCTAAGCTGGAACCTAGAATTCTCTGCTCAGGAGGTCCTGAGCTTGATTCCAAGGTTTCCTATCTTTCCAACTCATTCCTAGACCCAAGCAGTGTCCAAAGACAGGCTGTTAGTAGGGGAGGAGGTGTGCATGGAGGGTGGACTTGCAGGCCAATGTGCCCACACACAGGTGTATGAGGCCTCAGGATGGAGCCTGGAGTGGAGAGAGAAGGGGGCTCATTGGGAGCCAGGAGTTGAATCTGTCCATGCCACCATGTTCTGACATGAACCTCCAGTGACTCCAAGAATTCTAAATCTTAATCTAGACTTCCAGGTTGTTTTTGAAGGTATAGTTATTAAGGTAGGATGAAGTTCGAAGTTTGATTTATAACATTTAAATGTGGTATATGAACTGCTGTTTGTACCCTTGCCCCAAGCCAAACAGAGGATAGAGCTCTGTCTACTAAATAGAATAGCTGCAGAGGAAGAAGGGTGGGATCTGCTGCTGGGAGCCCCAGCTTGCCCTAATGCACGACTGCTTGCAAAGACGACCCAGGCTGGGGATGTGCTGCTCAGCATTTGGTCACGCTGATTTTTGCAGGAAATTCATCTTAAAACGTTCAACATGAGCCGTATTCTTCATCTGCAGATAAAGCTCATAAATATTGTAGTTTATTAAAATGCCTTTTTGAAAGGATCCACCACAAGCATGGCTGTGGGCCTCTTTTGTACTCTGCTGAAAACAATCATTAGTTCTACTCTGGCCAGACACACCAGCTGCCTTTTAAGAGGCACTTCTGAAAATGCAGAAGGCCCTTAATGTTTAACATGTTCCCATAACATCAGAACACTTTGGGCAGTTCTTCTTCTCCATAGAACTTAGAGTCCACTCTAGTGGCAAAGGAATAAGAGGATGGAAAAGTGAGCCTCTGTGACCCCTGACTCATTCTCCTGCCAGCCCGATTCCCTACCACCCCCAAGTGAGGACACCCACTGCCCTTGAGCCTGGTGCTCAATGCTTCCTGGCTGGGCCTGCCACACACCTGGCTAAAGCCACAATTCTGTTTCCTAGTCTTCTTTCAGTACCTGTGATGAAGACGTGTGAATCAGAATGAGGGCCGCCGTTCAATTTCCCCTGGCCATGGACACTGAGGGGTTCCTCAGATCCATGCAGCAGATGTGCTGGTTGCTGCCAGCCGGGAGCTCTGCCTGCCGGGGCCAAGAACTAGTTTGGTCTCCATTTTTTTTTGAGAGAAGCCAGTGGTTGAGTGGTTCTCTACTTTGGCACATACAACTATTTTCTTGAGGGTGTATTTGCTCCCTGACGCTGACCTTCCCTGTTTCTCATATAAACAGCGGTCTAAGGCCCAAGGCAGATGAGAAAGGCTGAAGGAAGGAACAAAGGAGGAGGTTGTATCTGGGGCTGAAAATAATATGGGCTTCACCAGCATTTTAAGAAATATAAGACATTTATAAGGGATGATTATGGGATGTATGCCTAACGCCATTTCCTTTTAACATAAGCAGACATTATTAAATATTAATTAAAAATTAAAAAAAAAAATTATCATATGTTCCCTGCTACTACTCCACTTTCTCATTTTGCAGGTGAAATTGTGTGTGTGTCAAAGGGAAATAGACAGGAGTTCTGTGGGGGGTATGACTTTGATTGGACTTCAGCCTGTGGAGAACATATTTTTCTCCTATTTTCCCATTATATTTCCTATAAAGGAAATATAGGAAATAGAGGAAGGCTTTCTGTTTTGTTCATTGCCATATTCCCAAATTAGAACCGTACCGGGCACTGACCAGGCATTCAATAAGCAGCTATTGAATACATTTTAAAAGTCTGCTGTTCATGTCGTGATTTTAAAAGTCTGCTGTTCATGTGTCATGATATGCCTTTTATATGATTTCTTCTTTAGAGTTTACATGTCACATAGAGTCTTAGAAATGTAGGGGGCTTCAAGTTACACTTCTCTTCAAACATATGCCCACCACAAATAATCATAGAGGCGATTAATTACAATTCCAAAAACCTACGCAGTGCCTGCTGTATGTCTGGCCCTACTGGGCACCTGGAATTCAGAAGGAATAAAAGGTGACTCTTGCCCCCTAGGCGGTCACAGCGTAGGAATTAGGAGTGGCATGCCACTAGATTGGCAAAACTCAAACAGAGATTAGAGAACTCATTTAATTATTTCTCCTTATTTTATACCTTAATATTTTATTTTAGGGACATCCTTTGGGATGATGCCAGTGATGGGATTTGGGGTACCATGGGAAGCCCTCGGAGATATATTGGGATGGAGAGGGGCCTCTTCTATCCTGCCATAGGAGTCATAACTTCTGCTGCTGAAGTTATAACCAAAAGGGGACTCAATGAGATAAAATAATGGAGTATATACAGAGTCTGTGTTTGCCAAAGAAAGAATAGATGGCAAGCAAAGGACAGAAAGTCTCCAGTCTTGCTTGTAGTGTGCGTATTTTTTGTAACTACATGTCAGGCCTGTCTTATAAACCTACAACTGCTGAATGACCCAACGTGTGGCTCTTCTTTATTGCCTCTCTCCTAACCCTCCTCCCCTTCTGCCCCTTTGCATGATGCCACTTCTTGGAGCCATCAGACATCCAGTACTACAGAGGCAGAGCAGAGAAAGAGATGGAGAAATACAGAAGTGGTGCAAAGAGTTAACCCAGGGGCAGGGAGGGGGCAGAGCTGTCAAGCTCACAGTGGCTTCCTTGTTCAAACTGTCCTCTACACTGCCTCTAATGTCACCAACTAGGGACTTTGCTGATTCTCCACCCCAGTGCCTTTTAGTGCACCCGGGGGCTGTAACAAATGAAAACAACTGATGCCTGGATCTTGCCCTTAGAGATTCTAACCAGGGTGTTAGCTATTCTGATGCATAGCCAGTATTAAGAACTAGAGTAGTCTGTCTAGCATTAAAAATAAAAAAAATCCCCTCCTATCGTATGGGACAAAAAGTTGTATTCCTAACCTCTAACCAGGTAGCTGCTGGGGTGGCATGGAGTTGCAATGGAAGAGGTGTAGAAGGTGGGCCCGGGGCAGCATGAAGGCGTGGTAGGCAGGTACTAGGAGACGGGAGAAGCTTCCAGAGAGGAAGATGGGACAATACCAAGGACCAATATGGCCAGCATCAGAACACTCCTCCTCCTCTTCATCCTTTTCAGCTTCTATTGCAAATCAGTCCGGGTAATTTCCAGGCACATGGTTGATGGAATGGATCATTTTGTGGGCTGTCTTCTTGAAAATTTAACTTAACCTCCGAGAGAATTAATTTTATGGCAATGGTAGATTTAGCTCATGCTTGACAGCTTGTTTTTCAGTTGCAGCCTATGTGTAATTCAGAGTTCGCTTTGTTTAGCTTACAGATACTCTTGGCAGATGAAGTGAGTGTGGTAATAATCGGCCATACAGCTGGCCTCGGAACGAGGTGTGGGTCCTTGGTCCGTCCTGGAGTACAGTCCACCAACCCTCCTGTGGTGCCAAAACCTGAGGCCTCTCAGGAGATCTCACCCTCTCGCTGATGAGTGAGACCATTCGGTGCTAATAGTCTGCTTTTAGGCAGATCTCCCCGTTTCGGAGCAGAACTAGTGGCAATGTACATTGCTGTTTTCTCGGTGCTGGGGAGGACTTCCTCACTGCTCTGCTGTTTCGTTTTCAGCGTGGTGCTCCTGGCAGTCGCATCCCATCCCACAGGTAAGCCCGTTTGTTTGATGCTGCCCATTCCACCCAGTGCTCTGGCCCAGTTGTATTTGTGCAGAACGTTCTATAAGAGAACACGGCTTGCCTTCCAGGACGGGAGCACAGGGGTTAGGCATCGCCCACGTACTTGAGATGGGCAGTGACCCCTTGTGGGTTTACTGCCCGCGAATTTATTCTCACCCCTTCTTGAATTTTGTCGTCTGTGTTTTCATCGGGTGCGGTCTCAGCTGTCCAGACGGGTTTGTTATCTGCCCGACGAACGAGTAGAGTACTCTTCTCTTCTTCTCAAGCTCCTTCAAACATCTAGAATTGCTCTTCAATCCTAGTGTGAAAGGATTTGGTGAGAAAGTTCCGATTCACCCTACTTCCAACTGACATTCTTTCATACATTTTTATCATGTGTGATCATACACTATTCATAATTGCAGATTAAGGAAGTCGGGCTTAAAGCTTCCCTTTGGGGATGGCTAGGTGGCTCAGTGGTTAAGCATCTGCCTTTAGCCCAGGGCCTGATCCTGGGATCCTGGGATCGAGTCCCGCCTCGGGCTCCCTGCATGGAGCCTGCTTCTCCCCCTGCAACATCTCTCTCTGCCCCTCTTTCTGCAGAGTCTCTGCACCTCTCTCTCTGTGTCTTTCATGAAGAAATAAATAAATAAAAATCTTTATAAAAGCTTCCCTTTGCCCTGTTGGCTGCCTTGGTGACTCTAGAGTTGTTTTTCAGATTCAAGAATTGTCCACAATACTGTGTTCCATTGTGAGTTTTTTTTTCTTACTCTGAAAGGTTTTGAAGTTGATGCCAAAGATAACAACATCGTATCTGCGTGTGGTATGGCTGGAAATACACATTTTATTGGTCATGCTCCTTCAACTCATGTCTCTTGGCCATTTGCGGGGCAGAAGGCCTTTCCCGAGCCCTCAGAGTCTCAGGTGAAATGAGAAAGGTGAACTGGGCTCTTTGCAAAGCCCTTTCTAGCTCCTGTTGTGCCCTGAACAATGATTGCTCTCTGTTGGTGCCTTTAGCTACTTCAGACTGTTTGAGCTAGTCTCCTGAGGGAACTGTTGATAGTGATTCATTGTTTATGGATTGTATATGACCCATCTGAACCCATGTCTCATGAGGATAATTTGAATTATTCTTTTTTCCAAGCGTTATTCTACACTGGCCCTCACTAGGCACATGTGCTGTTTTCTGCCCATGCCCACAGCCTGGTGTTATGTCTGGACTATGAGGCTTGGTGCTGAGCGCCCTCTGCATTCTCATGTGTTGAAAGCCTATCCTTTGTAAAATAAAAATTGTATGAAACCCATGGTGTGAACCCTACCTGTTTTTGCTCACCCGAGCTGGTGCTTGTCTGCCTCTAAGTATGCCTCTTGTCATTCTTTCATGCTGCCAGGAGGTTGCCACCCAAGAGACATTCGCAAGCCCCTTAAGCACCCTCCCCCTTTGAAATGTGTCTTGGTCAAAGCCTTTGGAAAATTCTCTGCTTCTCCATGCTCGTTTGCTCCCTGAGTGACAAGTGGTAGATTTTGGTGAATGATTCTCCCTTAAAGAAATCACTCTGCCTTTCAACTAAGAGGTGATGTTTGTTCGTTCATTCCTCATGATTCTCAGAACTAGAAGGAGCCTTAGTGATTATCCAAGGTGCTGCTACATTTTACAATTGAGGAAATTGAAGCCCAGAACAGTTAAGGGACGTGGCCAAGATGGTGCAGGGGAGGTGAGTAGTAGAGAGAGACCAAAGTTTAGGTCCTGACCCTTCTCCCAGGTCATTCCCCACACCTGTACTAGGTAAGACACAGTAAATCCTTCTTTTCAAAGGCTTCTTTTTCAGTGATCCTGCAGTTTATTATAAAGTTTCTGGAGTGAATGAATACTTTTATACAATGTTACTAAATTTCCTTTTGGAGCTTCTCTTGGCTTTTGGTTTGGTTTGGTTTTGAGAGAGAAAGTGTGTGCATGTGCATGCAAGGGGGCTGGAGAGGGACAGAGGGAGAAGAGAGAGAGAATCTTAAGCAGGTTCTACGCTCAGCTTGGAGCCTGATGTGGGGCTCAATTTCACAACCCTGAAATCATGACCTGAGCCGAAATCAAGAATCAGATGCTTAACTAACTGAGCCACCCAGGGGTCCCTGGAGCTTCTCTTAGTTTGAGGAGCATTTGCCTACCAGTTTCTAAGCACCGTGATGCTGGTAATAGTTTATACAGTTTGACCAACATTCCCACATTTCACCTTGAGTTATTGCTAAACTTTTAGGCTAATGCAAGAATAGCTTGGGAACTTACTCTCTGGAAACACCAAGTAGTCAACAGCCTATAGTTGTAGAATGGTCTAGGCAGAAGAGTAATTTAAGATAGGCCTCAGGTTCTTTTTGAGGTGATGAAATGTTCTGGAATTCCATAGTGGAGATGGTTGTGTAACTCTGTTAATATGCTAAAAACCACTGAATTTTTAAAAATGTATAGGGGATATGAGCCACCTGGGGGGCTCAGTCAGTTAGGCATCCAACTCTTGATTCTAGCTCAGATCATGATCTCAGGATTGTGAGAAGTTGTGCAGTACACAACCTGAACAACTGTAAGCAGTGGCTCTTTGCTTCAAAAAGCACCTGAATACGGTAAAATGGTTATATTTTTGGGGTAGAATAGATCACTAAGGTAGATAGATATTAAGGTAGAAATTTGGTATGAAAAATGATGAAAGCTCAGAATTTAGAAGAGTACTGAGGGATCAATTTTTCTCAGCTTTATAAAGCCAAATCAGTTGATGACTTGGCTCAACTCTTTGATGGATCCTGGAGATGTTTTCTCTTAGCAGTATACAATTGATTACAAAGTTTCAGCAAATAAAACACCTGAGGAAAACTCTCTCCTCCAGAAATATTCAAGGACTGCTGTCATGGGGCAGCCCCAATTCTTTCCAATTTGTTAGCTTTCTCATTCAACCCATGGGTAGTCTAGCCTGTTTTTAAGTTAGAACAATCCTTTATTCTTCCCAACTTGCTTATTACACTTTCCATCTAGAATGTCCACAGCAGGGCCTTGTATCAAGGAGATTATATTCCTGATTCCCCACACCTGTACTAGGTAAGACACAGTAAATCCTCAAGGCCCAGGGGTGCAGTGGTTTTATGAAGGTTCTGTTAACAGTTTCTGGCACTTTATTTCTTAATTTTTTAAAGTTTTATTTATTTAAGTCATCTCTACACCCAATGTGGGCTTGAACTCACAACCCTGAGATCAAGGGTCACATGTTCTACCCACTGAGCCAGCCCCACAATTGCTGACATAAAGCAGGGCTTTATTCCTTTTTGTTTCTTTTCACCTCTTCTTTTTTTTTTCACCCATATCTTAATTATTTAGTAGGACTTTTAAAACATTAAAAAGTTGAGGTATAGGGGTGCCTGGGTGGCTCAGTTGGTTAAGCATCCAAATCTTGATTTTGGCTCAGGTTGTGGTCTCAGGGTCATGAGATCAAGCCCCTGTGTTGGGCTGCACACTGAGCATGGAGCCAGCTTAAGATTTTCTCTCTCCCAAAAATGAGTGAAAATATCAGTGAGGGTGACAAAACATGAGAGACACCTAACTCTGGGAAATTAACAAGGGATAGTGAAAGGGGAGGTGGGCAGGGGGTTGGGGTGACTAGGTGATGGGCACTGAGGGGGGCACTTGGTGGGATGAGCACTGGATGTTACGCTAAATGTTGGCAAATTGATCTCCAATAAAAAAAATTAAAAAAGATTTTCTCTCTCTCTTACTCTGCCCCTCCACACTCCGTGCTTGCACGCACTCTCTCTCAAAATAATTTTTTGAGGTATAATTTACATATATGAAATGCACCTGTCTTATGTATACAGGTTGATCAATTTTGACAAAGGTATAACGTAGCTTACACTCCCATTGAGAGACCATTTCTGTCACTAGTTTCCTCATGCCCCTTCCTCATTACTCCCTTCTCACCCACCACCAAACCCACCATGGATCTGATTTCTGTTACCATAGATAAGTTCTGTTTATTCTAGAGCCTTGTATAGCTGGAAACAGGCAGGAAATACTCCTTTGTATCTGGCTCTTCATTCAATATAGTGTTCAGAGATTCATCCAGGTTGTTGTATGTATCATTAGTTGATTCCCTTTTATTACTAAGTAGGGTGCTATTGTATGAACATACCACCTTTTGTTTATCCATTTACTTGCTGATGCTCACTGGCACTGTTTCCAGTGTTTGGCTGTTATGAATAAAACTTCCATGAACGTTCTCTATTTTTAAATTTCTTTTTTTTTTATTTCTTTTTAAAGATTTTATTTTTTTATAGCAGCAATGTCCACAATAGCCAAACTATGGAAAGTCCAGATGTCCATTGGCAGATGAATGGATAAAGATGTGAGATACATATATATTTTATATGTATATAAATATATATAATATATATGTATATACATACGCACACACACAGTGGAATAGTACTCAGCCATCCAAAAAAAAAATGAAATCTTGTCATTTGCATGGATGGAACTAGAGGGTATTATGCTAAGCAAAATAAGTCAATCAGAGAAAGAATTATTATATGATCTCACTCATATGTGGAATTTAAGAAACAAAACAGAGGATCATAGAAGAAGAGAGAAAAGAATAAAATAAGACAAAATCAGGGAGACAAACCATAAGAGACTCTTAATCATAGGAAACAAACTGAGGATGGCTGGATGAGGAGGTAGTAGGGGGACAGGGTAATTGGGTGATGAACATTAATGAGGGCATGTGATGTAATGAGTACTGGTGAATCACTGACCTCTACCTCTGAAACCAATAGTCTGTTATATGTTAATTAATTGAGTTTAAATAAAATTTTAAAATAATAAAAATTAAAAATAAAGATTTTTATTTTTAAGTTATCTCTATACCCAATATGGGGCTTGAACCTACAACCCAAAGATCAAGAGTCACATGCTCTACTGACTGAGCCAGTCATGTGCCCCACCCCCGCACCCCCAACCCCTGTCCCGCCATGAACATTCTTATACAAAACTTTTTTTGGACTTATATTTTCATGTCTCTTGAATAAATACCTAGGACTAGAATTTCTGTGTCTTAGAGCAGATGCACATTTAAGTTTTAAGAAAGTACCAGTTTTCTGAAGTGTTTATACCATTTTATACCCCTACTCAGCAATGTCTGAGAGTTCAGTTGCTCCACAGCTTCACTAACATTTGGTGTTGTCAGTCTTGTTTTAGCTAGTCTGCATGGTTTCTTGTTAGTGCTCGAGCTGTCCTTTTCACTCATTCCTGAGTGACCAGAAAGTGTTTCTGTAGGAGCAGATGATGACCCTTTGGGTTATAACCTTTAGAGTGCATTGGAGATGGTGGTAGGGATCAGATGGATAGTTCTCTTTATCCTGAGTGCAGACCCTGCCACTTTCCACCTCGGGGCACTGCATTTGCTTCTTGGTAGGTGCAATCTACCTTGCCATCTTTATCTTTCAACCTCATGATTCACACAGAGGCTTCAAGAGTTTTGGAACCTTGCTTCCCCTTGGACCATTTTAAGCAGTAGTAAAGAAGAGAAATTCTTCCTCTGTTTGAAAGTTTGCATTTCCTGTTTGTACCAGGTCCCTCTGTTGTGTGTTCAAGAGGGAGAATTTCTAGGACCCAGAGAAGAGAGAGACCCACAGGAACCGGACCCAGAAATGACCTTGTTACCTGGTTGTGCCTTTTGTTCATATGTGATTTAAAGCAAGTACTGCTTGGTCTTGGAACCAACCTTCCATTTTCGTGCCGGTTCTGAGGGCTAAAATGTGGTGAGAGGATGTGATGTTCAGATATCAAGCAGTCTTGAATGTAGTAAGATTGGGCTGCACTTTTCACTGTGGTGATTTCATGCTCTGATCTTCAGATAGATCAGATTCCCTCTCTCGCTCAGAAAGTCAGCAGAATTTTACTGTGGCTCAGGAAGGGTAGGGTCCTGCTGTGATGGGCACTGGTGATGTCTGCAAGTGTTGAATCACTATATTGTCCACCTGAAACTAAGATTACACTGTATATTCACTAACTGGAATTGAAATAAAAACTTCAGAAAAAGGGAAGGCCTAACCAGGGCTGTAGTGCAGAAGGCTGCACGTTGTTGCCTCAAAACGTGTTTACAACTGTTCAGTTACATAATTTGTGCTTAAATTGTGCATTCCACAATACCTGGTGCAGGAGCCTTGTCTTTGGAGCATCTCTACCAGGTTTTTAGGTTCCTAGATTTAGTTCTCACGAGTTTGGGCTGGCCAGCCATTCGCTGTCCCATCTTCGAGCATGGTCAGTAGCCTGTGCTGTGTGGGGGCTGGCTTGCACCCTCCTTGCTGGTGGAAGAGAAGCCAGGCTGAAGGCATTGGGGAGGGGTGGTGGAAGCATTTGAGACAGATTTGAAATTAAGGACCAGCGTAGCCAGCTTGCTTCCCCATTCTCTGCAGGGGAAGCAAGAGAAGTTAGGTGTTTCAGGTACTCTGGGTTCAGTAGTGCTTAGCCTAATGCACTACTGATGATCCTAATGCAGTGGATAGGAGGTGAGGAAAGGACAGTCCCTCCTCTCAGGGACTGGCTGGTTTCAAAAGCAGAGACAGGCATGGGTCCACTAAGTACTGTGTGAGAGACGTGTAGAGGTCTTAGAAATGGCTCAAAGATAAGAGTGAGCTCTTCTCTTTCTCTCTCTCAGTAATTTATAGGATGAGTTTTTTAGGATTTGGGTGAAGGTTATCACATAACTGGTAAATTCCCTAGGACCATGGTTTCATTCCTTTGTCTTCCTCTCTCCCAGCCCACCTCTGACCATTGCACTGCCCGTCAGAGCCCCTCTGCAGCCCACACTGGGCTGGGAAGGCTGCCCATGCCCCAGGAACCCCCTGCTGGTGAGAGCCTGGGCGGGGGGGGGGGGGGGGGGGCGCGAAGGCAACGCCCCAGGAATCTCAAGGTCCTACCCCTGGCTTATCTCTTCTCTGCCCTTCCTCGTCATCACACTGACTGCACTGCAGTTTCCTTCACACCTTCAGGGAAGTTGGAACAGGGCCCAGGACCACAGCTGGCAGAGAGACAGAGCAAACCCCATGGACTGTCGCTTTGCCCACCTGCACAGGTCGGGGGGGCTCTGGCCGCCCTCTGGGGCCGGGGTGCCCAGGGTCACCTCAGTGTTGCTTGTATGCAGGAAGGGACCTCCGCAGAAATTGTGCTGTTCATGCACTAGACACTTGAGCCCGATGGTGTCATTTGCAAAGCCTCTCCACCAGTGTGGGTCTGTGTGGACGGTGGAAGCGTTCCGGTGGAGTCGTGGCAGGAAGAAAGCGAGAACTCTGAACCGCTCGTTGGGCTGCCTGAAAACCGGATCCCAAGAGACCCTCCCCTTTGTAGTTAAGCACACACATGTATGCACAAATGAAAGAAAACAAAACAATAGTTGTGATTTTTAAAAAGCAAAAACAAAACCTCTAGGGAAGTGGAATTCAGGACTTTCCTTCCCATGAGGTGGTTGAATTATTTGAAATCGGTTAGGTCTCTGAGGAAGGATAGCAGCCCAGTCTGTCTCCTTCTGAAACTCTTGATTAATAAGTGCAGTGATGTAGGAACTGCTGCCTGTATGTTGCACTGCACACCTAACATACTGGAGTCCTTAGGAAGCTCAGCCTTTCTTGCCCTGGTCCATCCAGATCTGAGAGACTGAGGCCTGGGGGTCTGGAAGGTCTGGCTCCTCCAGAGTCTCAGAAACTCCAGATTTGGGAGGATTAGGCAATCTGCTGTAGAAATGCTTAATTCCTTTTCTCTGGACATTTTTGGAAGGCTTTCTGCTTATTTAATCTCCTGACTTCTTGTTTGTGACCAAGTTCAAATTCCAGAGGGGGAAGCAGCCAATATGTGTGATTATTTCCTCTTGCACCAAGTGGAACTAAAAGAATGAACTTACTTCACTAGAAATAAATGTACCCTTTAGACCTTAAACCCAAATGAGTAAGCACAGTCGGTCTGGCCTCTGTGCCATTTGTGCAGTAATTAAACACAAAATGAAAAAAAGATGTCAGAGGCATGCATTCACAGTCTTTTTTTAGACATAAGGCAGAAAAGAATAGAACGACTTTTATACTCCACCTTGTGCAGGGATGGCTGCCTGATGAGGAGGAAAGATTGTAAGGGGTGCCTAGGTGGCTCAGTGGTTGGGCATCTGCCTTTGGCTCAGGTCATGATCCTGGGGTCCTAGGTTCGAGTCCCACATCAGGATCTCCACAAGGAGCCTGCTTCTCCCTCTGCCTGTGTCTCTGCCTCTCTCTATGTCTCTCGTGAATAAATAAATAAAATATATTTTTTTAAAGTAAAAGAAAGAAAGATTGTAGAGTTTGGAGTGAGCGGGGTGTACCTTCTGGCTTCACTGTTCAAGAGTTGCGCAATCCTAGACAAATCCTTTAACTTCTCAGAGCACCAGTTAAATGAGGATATTAAAACACCACACACAGAGTTATAGTTATTACAAGGACTGAAAGAGATGCTATGCTGTATGTAGAGGTTTTAGCAAAGGGCCCTGCATGGGACAGACTCTTGCTGAATGGGCATTATGATCATTACACTATTATTTTAAGTCAGTGCCACTAACACACAGAAACCCTTGGAATGCCAGAGTGAGTTCAGTGCTGGGTGCTGGGCAGCTCAGTGCTCAGACGGCTGCTGTGCTAAAGACCCTTGCCTGTGTTTTCTGGGACAGCTGGGGATGGGGGCACGTGTGGTCATTGTCTCACTCTTGCTGTGCCCCTCAGGTGATCTCTTCAGTGTCCTGGACTTTCCATTCCTGTATTTCTACAGATTCCATGGCAGCTGCTGTGCCAGGTAAGCTTAACACCCAAAGCCTCTGGCTCTAGTAATTTCTGTGTGTCTGTGCTACACTGTCTTCATCAAGTCCAGGGTCACTACCAGTTATCCAAATGAGAGGCATAGGAGAGTGGTCGTGAGGCAGGTCTGGAGGCAGCTTCCTCAGCCATCAGCAGGTTGTCATGAGCATCCTTAAGGGCTCAGGGCCGGCCTGCAGCCTTGGGGACCTGTGTCCTGCGGAAGTTCCTTGATGAAGGCAGTGCTTTTCAAACTTGGAGAAGAGCCAAGAACCCTGCACTGTGTTTCTCTCTATGAGCCATTCCTTTTTTTTTTTTTTTAAGATTTTATTTATTTATTCATGAGAAACACACACACACACACACACACACAGAGGCAGAGACACGGGCAGAGGGAGAAGCAGGCTCCATGCAGGGAGCCCGATGTGGGACTGGATCCCGGGACCCCAGGATCAGGCCCTGGGCCAAAGGCAGGCGCTAAACTGCTGAGCCACTCAGGGATCTCCTACAGTTTGCTTTTGCATTTGAGCTTCAGAATGACTTATTTATCATCCTCAGCTAAGTTTCGGGAAAATACTGTCAGAATTCATCTTCTCAAGATGAGTCCTTATCAGTTTGGTCAGGCCTTGTCAGCTGCCCGTTACTAGGATCAGGGGGACATGGGTGTTGGTGCTGCTCTGGTGCCGGTGGACTTGTTTCCCCATGGGTCTGGTTTTTGGTAGTGTCAGCCAACAGTGAGGAGGGGAGGGCAGCTGTTGTTCGATTATTTGAAACAGAACAACACAGTTCACAGCCCGTTGGTGCTGGCTTTGTGGGGTGATATTTTAGCTCCACTTCTGCCCCTTTAATCTGTAACTTTCTTACAACCCAGCATGAAAAATCAGGGTTTTATGCTTAAAAGAGTTGGAAATCTTTGCTTGAATTGATGTGACCCTCTACTATGTTCTAACCTCACCAACCCCGCTTCAGTACAAAGCTTGACCTCTTTTAAGAACGTGTCAGTTTTCCCCACAACATCTCATGACTCCTGCATGACCATATCTCAGACTAAGAGTTGTCACCTTCAGAGGCCCTGGAGAAACTCAGAAGGAGTCATGGAGGCCTGAGGGGATGGTGGGAGCCATGACCAGAGACACATTAACGGGGAGCCCAGGTTCTTTTACTTCTGGGATCCTCGCATTGCTTTTAAGGTCTGCCTCCACAGCGAGGGGTAGAAGACCTGAGCGTGGAGGGAGAAAGAGAGGGGCCCGTGAGTTAGAAATGATTCACAAGCATACCAGTCAAGGGATGGGAAGGAGTCGTGGATGCTTTCCCAAGCATGTTGGGCACAGACTGGGAGTGGCTCTGTTCTAGCAAAGTCTGTGCTGAGGGGAAAGGGGACATGGATCATGCCCTTTCTCTAGCTGGAAGTGGGGGAAGTGGTTTGGAGGGGGTATGGGAGACAGCACAGGCACCTGCAAAGTTATTACCTCCCTGGAAGCAGGGGTAGAGGCCACCAGGAGGAGCCCTGGAGTACCAGCCACCTTACCTTCCACTCCCAACCTCGCAGTGACCTCAGCCACCTGCAGCAGTCGCGCACTATCTTTGGGTCAAGAATGTATCTTCATGGTAAAGTTTGAAGCACTGCAGAAAAACCCTTGAAAGAGCGAGGAAACCTGGATTCTAAATGTGGCTGGGCCTCAGTTTCCTTGTTAATGCAGTAAGATTTGAGGCTAGGGAGGCTTTCTGTTCCGAAAGTCTCTGATTTCCATAAGATAGGATGAGGACCACTGTGCTTAGTATATGTGCTGCTGAAGCGAGCACTGGACCACTGTGCTTATTCCTGCTTTAACAACACAGAACCTAAGGCAATTAAAAAAGAGATAAAGGGGGTTTAGTCAAGGTCATGGAGCCTAGCCTAGGTCACTCAATTTCCAGCCTGCTGCTTACCCACTGAACTTCCTTGCCTTTTGGGTGTGAATGACTGTCTTTATCCGTAGCTGCCCAGCCTCCCATGACCGCAGATGCAAATCTGAACAATCTTTGCTGGCTATCAGGGTCCAACAGGCTGAAATATACACAAGAGAACCCTCATCCCTCATCTCCGTCTTTGGTTCTGTCCCAGGAACATGGCCATGAACTAATCTAATGAAGCAAAGGCACACGTTTCTATGAAATTTGGCCTTACAGGTGTTTAATTCAATCCAACGTGCTTCTAAGGAAACCTATTGAACATTTATGTAATATCTACTGTGACCAAAGCACCATGTTTGGCTCTGTTGGGGAAAACACAGAGTAGCCCAAGGTTGTGCCCTGCTCTGTCAGAGCTCATGATCCAGATTAGAACCCCACATCAGTGCCTATAATAAAGGTGAGACAGCAGGACGGCCATTGAGGCCCTGGAGGTACAAATGATGTACAGCTCATAGGACCGGTGGTTTGGGGTACAATGGCAGTCATATCTCTTGCTTTTCAATTTCTAATAAAAGTCACATACGAGCCCCCACTTGCATATTATTTATAGGAAGTCAGCTCTATCATGGAGTCTCTCAGCTATACTCTTCCCCAATTGCCCCGCCTCCAAATGCAAGGAAAAGTAACTGTTCTGTTGAATTGCCCTTCGCTTTGTCCTTGACCACACAGTGATGCTTTCAAAAATGGTTCCAGCACAGGCCACTACTTCCTTATCCACCTCTATGCCGGTGCCTTGCACTGCTCCACACTCTAGAGCTCCCATGGGACATAGTCTCTCAGGTCATGCACATGAGCTTAGGCATCATTCCCAAAGTACAACTTCTGTGTAGCTTAGCCTGGTTTGGGGGATATCTGCTAGTGGAGCCAGCCCTCTGCTTTAGATTTTTACTTTGAACCCAGGAGTCGGGCCAGACCCTCTGTCCCCATATGGTAAGTTTTGCTTTGGAAGTCTTTTTCTAGCAGTTTGTTCTGCTTGAAAAAAAGTTGAAGTTCTACCTTGGCAAGCACCAAGCTCCAGAAATAATATGAGAGGGAGCAGGAGGTATTGTCCTCCACACTTTTCTTCTTTCATGATTTAGCCAGAGACTTCCCAAGTTTCTATACTCCTTCCCCCACTACCCCCTACCCAGTGGAACTCTCTTATCGTAGCTCCTTACGAAATTAGAGCTTCGGGGATCCCTGGGTGGCTCAGCGGTTTGGCGCCTGCCTTTGGCCCAGGGCACAATCCTGGAGTCCCGGGATCGAGTCCCGCATCGGGCTCCCGGCATGGAGCCTGCTTCTCCCTCCTCCTGTGTCTCTGCCTCTCTCTCTCTCATTCTCTCTCTCTCTCTCTCTCTCTCTCTCTCTCTCTCTCTCTCTCTCTCATAAATAAATGAAATTAGAGCTTCATGGATTTTTAAATATTTGATATTTTTATACAGAGATGACTAGAAAACCAAGACAAGATACAGATTCTCTAATAATTAGAAACTGGCTGGTAAAATGTAACAGAAAATAGCTAGCTATTGGCTAAAAGAAGAGAAGCCTCACTAACAAAAGAATATTTTCTCCTTCCAGTGGATTGTTAGGATTCTTTCTCATGCTCAGCACAGTGAAGCTGAAAAACCTTGTGGCCCCAGGGCAGTATGCAGCCTGGATTTTCTTTGCTAAGGTAAGAAAGAGGGAAGGAGTGGGAAAAATCAGTCTCAGGAACCTTTATGTCCAGTGTTTCTTGGAGCATGGGTAACATCAGGTTTGAGCTTCATGATATCATTTCCAGGCAAGGGCTCTGAGCCTGATCCTTCAGTCATTCCGATGACAATTTCTGAGGTCCTCTGCCTATTTTAGCAGCATGATAAAATCTTTGTCACACTCCTGGAAGGGATAATCCCTTTAACTTCCCTGAGCCTTAATTTCCACATCTGAACATGAGAGGTTTTGCCTGCAGAAATCTCTAAGTCTTCTCTGGTTCCACAAGACTGGATTCCTGGGGATGCCTGGGTGGCTCAGCGGTTGAGCATCTGCCTTTGGCTCAGGGTGTGATGTCGGAGTCCCAGGGATTAGGGATCGAGTCCCATATCAGGCTCCCTGTAGGGAGGCCTGCTTCTCCCTCTGCCTATGTCTCTGCCTCTCTCTGTGTGTCTCTCATGAGTAAATTAAAAAAAAAAAAAAAAAAGACCTTTAAAAAAAAGAAAAGATTGAATTACTGGATACGTGGGGCAGGTCTTCTCTTCCTTCCTTGGGGCTGTGAGTGTGTCCAGAGCCCAAAGTGACTTCCCTGAGAGATCTCACTCTGTCAGGGCTGGTAGAGAGAGGAAAACAGACAAATAGCCAGGTAGGAAGACTTTGGTGAAGTCTTCAAACAAGACTATTCTAAGCATGCCCATTGCATATCTGATGATCATGGTTGAGGCATAAGATAGAGAGGTGGGAAAATAAGGAGCAGAAAAAGCAGCTGTGGGATGCTCATTCGTGACTGAAACGCTTTGGAACCAACTTTCTTCTAGCGGAGCATTTCATTTCTTTCCTGTCTGCAAAGAAGTCAAGATGCTGGGCCCTATGTGCTGCTTCTGAGAATGAGCATTCTTAATTTAGCTTAATGAAATCATTGTTTAAGCTCGTACCTTTTATCATCTTTATATTTATTGGTTGATGTTTTTCCCCCAGAAAACAAAAACAAACATTTTTCTTAGAAAACAACCATTTCACCATCATATTTTCACCTCCATGGGTCTGCTTTTTAACCGCATTAATAAAGTCTAATTACAGTAAAATGTAAAGAGTGGCTAAGAGACTGGCTTCCAGCATGACAAAATGAGGAGGTTGACAAATCCTCCTCCCAAAAAGTAACTGGGAAGCTGGAAAAAGATTGTCAAAAATATCTATTTCAGCTCTCTAAAAATTGACCAAAGGCATACAACAAACTGAGAAGCAAGCATTTGTTCATGAAAACTGCAAAACTTTGGGTAGGAGCAACGTGAGCGTATGGCAGTATTACCTAAGGTTGCTCCCATCCCCTCCTCCTCAGTTCTGTTGGTGTGATATTTCAACCAGAGCAGGGCAGGCTGTGAAAACCAGCAGCCTTGCTGCTGCTTCTAGAATACTCCATTTGGAGTATGTTTAGTTAAAGTGGCCATGTCAGTGGTAAATAAGTAAGAAGAACCAGTAGCCCCACTATCTTGAATTTACAGTCCTCTTTGGGGCAAGCAATGGACCAGTGGTCTAGCTGAGGACTTACTAGGTAGTTCAGGGACATGAGACAGCCAGCAGGGGCTTGATAACTCTCCATGTGTCCCAAATTGACCGCAGTCTGTGTGCACGAGCAGCAGAGATGGAGTGTGCCCAAAACACCCACATGTCCCTGGCCAGCGGAGCCTGCATGCACACACAGAGGAGATGGGAGAGAGCCAGCAAAAGCTGGGGCAGACATGAAAAACTTCAGCCTGAAGTTTGAGTGTGCTCCCTAGCCCACACACAGTCAGAGGCACAGAGAAGAAGCCTGGCTGAAGGTGTTTGACCTAACCCTCTGACTAGTCTTTGCTAGACTACTAAGCTATGCACACATGGGGATGACTTCTAGAAAGCCAGAAAAAGTTTAAATGTAAAAACAAAAAGAAATTGAGTAAGGGACCTAATATGGGAGACTGATTTCATAGACTTAGTCCAGGCAAATTACTAAACAAGCAAAGCAACAGTACCAACAACAGTGCTCTGGGGAAAAGTAAGAATCCAAGGTTGCTGCCATATGTTATCTAAAATGTCCAATATTCAACAACAAAAAGAGTTAGGGACATTCAAAGAAACAAGAAAACATGATGCATACACAGGGGAAAAGCAATTAATAGGAACTATGCCTGAGTGTCCTCAGATGTAGGATTTAGCAAAAAAAAAACTGCAAAGCAGCTATTTAAATATGTTTAGAGATCTAAAGGAAACCATGTTTAAAGAATTAAAAGAAAGACTCGATGAATACAGAATCCCAATAAAGAGATAGAGATGATTTAAAAAGAGAGACCCAAGTGAAAATTCTGGAGTTGAAAAATACAATAACTAAAATGAAAAATTCTCTAGAGATACTCAATAACAGGTTTAAGTGGCAGAAGGAAAAATAAGTGAATTGGAAGGTGGAGCCCAAGAAATTATTCAATCTAAAAAACGAAGACTTTTTAATAATTGGAGAAATATGAGCAGAGTCTCAGAGACCTGTGAGACAACATCAAGCATATCAACATATGTATTATAAGAGTTCCAGAAGAAGAGGAAAGTGGTGTAGAAAAAAAAAAAATACAATCAATGGATGACTTCTCTCTCAATGGGGACCAGAAGGCAATAGGATAACATATCTAACATGCTGAAAGAAAAATCTGTCAATCAGGAATTCTACAAACAGCCAAACTGTCCTTCAAATATGAATGAGAAATAGACATTCCCATATAAAGACTAAGGGTTTTATTGCTAGCAGCTCTGCCAATAGTAATATTAAATGTGAATAGACTATTCTCAAAAAGCAAAGATAGACTGGATAAAAAAGCAAGATGTACCTATATGCTGTCTACAAAGGACACACCTTAGATTCAAAAACACAAATAGGATGAATGCAAAAGGATGGAAAAACTTCACCATGCAAACAGCAAGCCAGGTGTAGTGACTATATTAAAATCGGGCAAAATAGGGATCCCTGGATGGCTCAGCGGTTTAGTGCCTGCCTTTGGCCCAGGGCGCGATCCAGCAGTCCCGGGATCGAGTCCCACGTCGGGCTCCCAGCATGGAGGCTTGCTTCTCCCTCCTCCTGTGTCTCTGCATCTCTCTCTCTCTCTCTCTCTCTCTCTCTCTCTCTCTCTCTCTCTCTCCCTCTCTATGTCTATCATAAATAAATAAATCTTTAAAAAAAATAAAATAAAATCAGACAAAATAGACTTTATGACAGAAAATGTTACTAGGGAAATACAAAGACATTTATTAATGATAAAAGGATTGATACACTAGAAAGATATGACAGTTATAAACATATATGCACCTAACAACAGCACCCCAAAATGTGTGAAGCAAAGAGTGACAGACTAGAAAGGAGAAATAAATTATTCAGCAATAAGAGAAGATTTCAGTCCTGCACTTTCAAGTTGATAGAACAACTATATATAAAAGCAAGGATATAGAAGGTATAGATGACTTGAACAACACTATCAACCAACTTGTCATAACAGACATATAACATTCCACCTATTGACTGCAGAAAATATATTCTTCTCAAACACACATGAAACATTCTTCAGGATAGATGTTATGCTGTGTCACAGAACAAGTCTCAGTAAATTTTAAAAGATTGAGATCATTTAAACTATGTTCTCTGGCCACAGCAGAATTAAATTAGAAATTTACAACAGAAAAAAATCTAGAAAACAAAAACCATTTATTTGGCAATTAAATAACATACTTCTAAATCGCCCATGGGGCAAAGAAAACATCACAAGGGAAAATAAAAATATTTTAACCAAATGAAAACAAAACCACACAGTATGTCATAACTTAAGGGATGTAGCTAAAGTGGTGCTCAGAGGGAAATTTATAGCTATATTTACCCATATCGGAAAAAAAAGAAAGGTCTCAAATCATAACCTGAGCTTCTACCTTAAGAAACTAGAAAAGGAAGAGCAAATTAAACCCATAGCAAGCAGAAGGAAGGATATGATAAACTTTAAAGTGGAAATTAATGAAATACAAAACAACAATAATAAGGAAAATCAGTGTTGGTTCCCTGAAAACACCAACAAAATTGACAAACCTCTGGCCATACTGATTAAGAAAATAAGACAGAAGATACAACTTAAATAATTAGAAATGAAATGAGGGACATAACTACTGATTCTATAGAAACTAAAAGGATTATATGTTATGAATAACTTTCTTCATTCTATTATGCCATCAAATTAGACAATTGAAAGGAAATGGACAAATTCCCAGAAAGGCATAAATTAGGAAAATTGACTCAAGAATAAATAGAAAATCTGAATAAACTCCTAACAAATAAATAAATGTAAGTAGTAATTAAAAATCTTTCCACAAAGAGAAGCTCAGGCCCAGTGGGTTTTATTGATGAATTCTATCAAATATTTTTAAATGAAATATTTTCTCTTTACAAATTATTTTAGAAAGCAGAGGAAAGAGAATAACACCCAATTTATTCTATAAGGTGTTTACCTGGATACTAAAGCCAGACAAAAGTAAATCATAAGAAAACTATAGACCAATATTCTTCATGAACACGGATCTTTAACAAAATAGTAGCAAATTGAATATGGGAATATATAAAAAGAATTTTATGCCATGATCAAGTAAGATTTGTCAAGGATACAAAGTTGGTTTAACAAATGAAAATTAGGGATCCCTGGGTGGCGCAGCGGTTTAGCGCCTGCCTTTGGCCCAGGGCACGATCCTGGAGACCTGGGATCGAGTCCCACGTCGGGCTCCCGGTGCATGGAGCCTGCTTCTCCCTCTGCCTATGTCTCTGCCTCTATCTCTCTCTCTGTGTGACTATTGACTATATAAATAAATAAATAAAAATTAAAAAAAGAAAAACAAATGAAAATTAGGGCAGCCTGGGTAGTTAGCGGTTTAGCGCTGTCTTCGGCCCAGGGCGTGATCCTGGAGACCCAGGATCGAGTCCCACTTTGG